GAGTAGATCGGATTCCAGATTAAGGAAGCATATTCCAATTTTGAAGTTATAGCAGCGGGGTAAGAGCGCGCTATGGCAATGTCCTCACAAAGGTATGCGGAGCTGCCGGGCATAGTAACCATGGGCGCATCTATGTTAGCTTCTGGTTGAATTGTTGAACCACAAGCAAGAACTCCTCCTATGCCTGAAGCTCTGGTTCTCAATCCAGTTAATGCAATAACAGCTTCTTCCAAGCCATTGAAAACATGCACTTTGTTAGGTCCACCACCTGTTGCGCTTGCTTCTGCCTTCGGTCGAGCTTAGGGATTATAACCCTTACTAAGTAGAATTCTCCTTTCTGTGTTGCGGGGAAGAGGGGCTTCCGCACGTCAAAGGTATACAACATTTCTTGTGCATATCACTCCGGCTACGCCGTCCACAGTATTTTTGCGCAGAACCCACGTCGAAATTTGCAAAAAAGTGCATAGTGCAAACCGAGTATTAATAAGAAAATTTGAAACATTTATCTTAAAAAATGTGAATCCTTTGATTACACGTGTATGTTAAAGTTTTTGGATTCGGGCTATGCGCTTGGACACAACAAAAGAAAATTTTTAAACACCAGCGACTTCAATTCTCATAAAAATTGATCATCAATTTCTCCACGATCCAAACACCGTATCTAAACCAAATTAGTATGGGAGCACCCTTGAGGTGCCACCTTTCTGATAAAAAGGAATTATCGAAATAAGTTCAAGTAGTCCAAAGTTATGCGGCAACATATTTACATAAAAAAAAAAAAATATTCCTCCTTGTTTGAAGTCGGTCAAGACTTGCAAAATGTCGCGTCCCTATTTATGTATATATTCGCCAGTGTATATATACATATGTTAACTGTGCTACAAATTTTGTGATGAAACGGGGCAATATTCGTTTTAAGTTTAAGTCGTTATAAAAAGGACTTTATAACTTGAAATTGGTAAGTTTTTCAACTAACATAATAAGGGTTATTTACAGCCTTAAATACAATATCGAATTTTGTGTTTCTTTTTAGGTATTTTTAAATCAAAATTTTTTGGGATCGAAAAGATTTTTTTTAGCTTTAAAATCTTATTTTGAAGATTTTTTTTAGAACAAATTAAGATTTTTAGTGAGAATTACTCTCTCAAACCTCTTAACTCCCGAGAATGTACCAAAGAAACAAAAATATATAGTTTAGGGCACTCGCGGGCGAGCAAAAAACCAGACCTGGACCAAACTTTCCCAGCAGCTTTGTGTTGTTATACACATACAAAAATTTTAGGTAATTGCTATACACAAGAGTTGCATTGAAACCAAAAGATAAACTTGAATTTATGCTGTGGGAGCTTCAAAACTTATATCGCATGAGGCGATTTTATAGGCAACTTTTAGTTGAAAGCAACAATCGCCTGGTGTGAACGGCCTTTGAACTAATCGCTTCCAATAAAGTTGGGGGGCAGCCAACTTTTGATTCAGCTAATCGCCTTTAAAATTGCCTGGAAAATCGCCTGAGGCGAACACCGTACTAGGCAACAGATAATTGCCTATCCAATATCATAAAAAAACAAGTGAATCCGCATGACATTAAAGCGCCAAAATTGAATTTAACTTTTTAGATGGTGACAACAAAACCTAAAAAAAGCTTCCAAGTGCTAGACAGAATTTATAAGCGATCCGCGTGCCAAATTTTATCTAAATCTGCCTAGCTATTTCTGAGTGAAGAGAGATGTCAGTTTTTCATGCCATCAAATTTGAAATCGAAGTTTGCCTGAAAAGCTTGGTGTTTTATTTTAACTTAATAAGAAATCTGGGCATATTTCATAAAAGTTACACGTGCGATGAAAATACCAAGTGGAGAAGGACTTGGCTTCATTTGGCATTTCCATTTGACGTCAGTTGTCACAGAAGAGAAACTACTGATGTGCTTTGTTGAACTCAGCCAAAATCGCTTATAGCGTTTTCTTTTCTCAAAATAAGTTTTGCCCTTTATTTATATGCGAACTTTTGCTTTGGGTTGCCCTGAAACCTGAGAAAATGTTGCGTTCTTCATATGAGAATGAAACAGCGATTATGCTACTCCATCAGAAGTTCATTTATAGAACTTATAAATGCGGTTAAACGTGGCAATGCAAGCATTTTTTCTACGAAATCGAAAGTATACTTACTTTCCCGTGTAAACGGACAAAGTCCTTTTTGCAGATTTGCAGAAATCACTTTCGAAAATAAAAATTGCAAGGTGTAACTGTAACTGAAATTACGCGAATCGCTTTCGAGAAATAAAATCAACTTTCTCGTGCCGCACTAGCAACTTCCATTTTAGCTGCAAGTGCTATCAAAACAATCGAGTGTTGCAGTGTGACGCGATTTTTTGCCGAATTTGTGTACGATTATAAAAATGTTGCATCACATTCAAAAATATACTTATAATTAATTTATTCTCTTGATATGAACAATTTAAATATTAAAGCATTAGACACTTAGGGACAAATTCACAGTGCGTAGTTTACTCAGAATCGGCAGTTAACTACAGATATTCAGTACAAAATAACCACTAAGGGCCGAATTCACAGTTCGTAGTTTTTTTTTATACTGAAAATCTGTAGTGAGCTGCCGCTTCTAAGTTAACTGCCACAAATCTGTAGTTAACAGCCGATTTTGACTTAACTACGCACTGTGAATTTGGCCCTTAGTGATTGTTTTGTGCGCATTTGAGCAGTTTTAACAAATTTGTCAGATCAGAAATTTTGTTATAAGCATAAAAATGTCTGGTAACATATTTCAAAGTGGACTTGTCTGCATTCACCGTGTAAACAGACAAAAAGTAGCATCGGAAAGTTTGATTTTCAGAAATAAAAACTGCTTTCGAATGTCACTTTACATGCAAGGTGTAATTGCTCCAGCAATCGCATGGAAATTCTTGAGTTTGGCAGACTTTTGAAAAGGACTTGCACTTGCCAGGTCTAACAACGACTTTATAATCTGAATTTTTCACTTGCACTTTAAGCCTTTACTTAATTTCACATATTTCTGATACGGAAATATTTTATTTTTACAAGCGTAAATTAAAAATCAGCCGTGCATCTCTCACCATCATGTTTATTTCAGTGCAGAAAAGGCAGCACTTTTTTCTAGGGATGTAGAAAAAATATCGATGCACCGGAAACATCGATGTTTGCTATTCGATGCATCGAATAAAACCGATGTTTTAGATGTATCGACTTTTGTGTGCAATGTACACTGTACATATTCAAATTATTTTGTATACTCCCAAACTCTTTGCTCTAGTAACTATTCTAAATGTGGAAATTTCACTATTTATGCACTATTAGAATATGACCCATTCCACGGTGACAGGTGTGACATTTCAACTCACATTTTAAGGCTAAATTCTTAAACTCTATATAGAATTCTTTAAAACGAGTATTTTCTAATAGGTTTCCGAGGTATACACAATGCCTAGAAAAAAATCAAAAACACTTTAATCCAAACGAGCACGCAAACCAAATTAGCTACTACTTGTATCAGAGTTTTTGTGCTAACTATGTCTTTTGCTTATGATTTTAAATAGTACATTGTATAGTTAAATAAACATTTTCAATATTTACGCCAATGTTGTTTAGCTCTATTGGAAATTATAGATTATATGTTCCAAATTCAATAGTGACGGGTGTGGCAAGTTGAGCATGAATACACAAATACACATTATTAGAAAAAATTAACTTTACTTCTCGGATTTTACGAACACATAAAATATTCTGTCACCTAAAGACGAGATAATCCTTGATCGGTCTCTTCATCTCCATTGTCTGTCTGAGTCTTTGTTAAGTACTTTATTTATTATAAATAGTATGAGGCTGTTACCTGTCAAACCGTATGAGATACTGTTTTTGTCCTGACAAGTGAAGTAATGGTTTCTTTTTATCCGTGACAGAATACCTTAAGTTTTCCCATCGCTCAAGCAATATATCTTTATGACTAGCTTTATCATCGGTGATCACAAACAGATATATAATGCATTTCAGATTAGTAGATAAGTAACGGTAGCAGTCCCTGGCCGAATTTATTAGAATTTGTCAAACTTTAAATTGTGACGGGTTGACATAGTACGGGCGTGACCAACATAATCATGCCTATTACGGTATCCGACGGATGCCATCCGCACGGATCTAATCCGATTCGCACTGTAATAACAAGCGAATGATAAGGATTAGATTCATGAGAATGGGATCCCTCGGAAACAGACTTATTTCGGTCCGACAGATACCACTCGCACGAATCTAATCCTTCGCACTCGCTTATTCGGATAGTGCGAATCTGATTAGATCCGTGCGGATGGCATCCGTTGGATACCGTAATAGGCATGAATCAGTTTTTTTTCGAAAATAAAAGCATATAAATACTTAAAAGCAATTCGCACATATTCGTCTGTCATAGCTTTACTTTCGTCAGCTTTTTTACACTACCCAAGATGTGTTTTCCTTCAAAAAATAACTATTTTGTGTATGTATTTTGTGACGGGCCTCACATTAAAAACGCTTTGCTTCAATATATAACAAAATATTCAGTAATTGACCGAAAAACTTGAAGATTACACTGTTACAACGCTGACGAATTGTTATCTCCATTTACCGTTTAAACAATGTAAAAAAGGCAATAAATAGACTGAAAATCAGTGTTGTCAATTGTGAAGAAAATTAACCTCATATGAGTCTGTAAATGGTACCAATCTAAAGTAAAAAAAAAAAATCTGATTTTGAGATAAATTTTGGAATTTTGGCTTTGGAGAGTTGTATTAAAAAAAAAAATAAAAATAAACAAACAAAAGCAAAATGGCCAAAACTGGTTAAAATGTCGGATGCCTATTATTTTCATATGACCATACATACGAATTACATAAGTATATACATATGTACATATTACTTAGATAATTAACTAACTGCTTCGAATCTATTTATTTATATATATCTATTGATTATATGTTTAATTTGAATTCAAAGTAGAAACAGTTTTTCTTTTTTCCACTTAGGATTTAACGCAGCAGCACAGTCGCTCGCGAAAACAACAACAACAAGCACAATCAGCTATGTTGATTGGTAATCATCAAGCACTACATCTGCAAGTTCTGCAAGGCACCAATTCAGCTCATGTAATCAAATACGAAATCAATATACCGCAGGATAATCAAAGTGGTTGAGCAATTAGTTGATGGCATAAAAATCGTTCGATATACCTACATACATATATATTTCACACTAACATAAGTACAGGACAAAAACGAATATATTGTATATGTGAATGGCGGCTGGGAGAAAGAGGGTTTGATTGTACGGTACTTGGTACGGTATTGTTTTCATTTGTTTAAGTTTATATCCTCTTTGTAGTTTTTAAGCTGTATTGTTTGGCTTCTTTTGTGTGCACACATTTTACAATTTCAATAAGAAATACTTATTGTTTATATTTATGTAAATAATTTGTTGGCTACATTACGATATACATTGTATTTTTAAGTCCTCAAGACAAAATTTAATCAACAACAAACTCGTTTTATTAAGCCAATCATAGAACCGAGATATACATAAGTAGTATATAATTATATGTATGTATTGTTTTGCATTGCGAGGCAATGGTTTTGGTAAATATCTCGTAACGAGTACTGATTTGTACACATTAAGTCATACACTTAAATGTAAGGATCTTCAGTTGTGGTAATCATGTTTCGATTTTTCTTACTCCTCGCCTTTGCCCTTTAATATACATACGTACATGCATACATAATATATATGTATAACGATAAGAGTGCTTAGATTGTAAATCAGAAAAGAATTTCACCTTCATACCGACATTTTATTTTAAATTAAAATGTCTGATAAATACTTAGTATATACAGTATAATGTTTAATGTAAGCATCTACTGATTACATGCAAAAAAAGGACATAAAAACAAACATAATCATGTGCTAGCATGACAAAATATAGTTGTATAATATTAGACTTACGTGCATAAGAAATAAATGAATAGTAATAACTAAATATATATATTTTAATATAATAAGCATAAAAATAAATGAAAAAATGAGAAAAAAATGATTTATATCCATATATTTCTTTGCAAATGAACATTTTTGTTTATTGTTAGCTATGGTTACACAAAAATCTCAACGTGGTACAAATACCATCGCACCAACTTTGGCGGCATTACAAAGGTTTTTTTGATTGTTACATTTAAAAAAATAACAGATGGTTTCTTCGTCAACAAAAAATGAAAGCAGAAAAAATGTCTAAGGGAAACGTCTAGAATTAGAATACAGTTGGCACGAAGTTAATAATTTTTGGAGTCTTATTGGTAGTTCATGTTCCACTCAATATATGCTGCTGCGTGGACAAAAATAGCGAATAGTCGATTTTATGTATGCGCGGAGCGAATATAGCCAGCCAGAACTCAAAGCTGCAGCCCTTCAAGACGAATTTATTCGTGCTCAAATATACATTCCATATAATACATTTGAAGTACCTTTGATAAATAACCCTTGAAATTTATTTGAAAATTAACCATATTCTCAAATGGAGATCAAATTCCCCTTTTTAAGGAAGCAGTAAATATCAAATCGTTTTCAAACGTTGGGAAAGTACCTTGATTTCAAATCATTCTCAAATGTATATCGAACCTAATTGTTTTCTGTGGTGTGTCCACATATTTTCGTGAAGCGAACATAGATTCGAACACTGACATTGAGATCATATATGAAAACTACTGCAGGAATACTATGAAATTCCCTCGTAGACACAGATCAAGGTAACTCTATTATCCTTAATCTTTCGTAACTTTTCTTACAATTTTCTTTTTAATCTAATGGCTGCGACTCCCAGGTCCTCATATCCCTCGTTATATTTTTAAAAATTCACGTATTAACTCTTTAAATATTTTGACCCCTACGCGTAAATGTTAGGCTTGGGTAGTTCTTGACCTAAATGAACTAGTTATCTCAATGAACTAGTTCGGTCTCTTCATTGAACTAAATTTGTCAGTGCTACTATTTCTTATTTTGGATCGCGATCTAAATATTCTTGCAACGAACCTATGTCGTGTATCCCCATCTTTACAGATACGTTTTAAAACACTCAGCCTCATTGCGAGAGTCGTGTCGAACGCAAGTCGTTTTTCGAGAGTTGAATCGTATCGAAAATCTCATGTTAGCGCGTAAAATTTCGACTCGACTAGTGTATTAAAACGGCAGCACTGCATAATTTTCGGCGATTTTCGTCTTCTACTTATTTCAGCACGACAGTAGACAATTCCAATGTTGTCGAGTCGCACAATTTAGCCTAATTTACGACTTGCGCAATGAGGCTGATTTTTGCATTGTTACTACTTCAGTTCTTGGCTAAGGAGTTTTTTGCGCAAATATTAAACTAACGCAGATTTTAAAATTAAACAAGCTTTCTAATTTAATGTTATAGCCCAGCAATATGTAAGTTTTTGTTTTGTATGTAGAATGTATGATAATAAAAATAATTGAACTTTGTTTAAAATAAAATTCGTCAATTAAACTAAATGAACTGAGGCCAACGAACTACAACTGAACGGTTCATTTAAAATAGCGATGGGCATAATGTACACATACGGGCAAAATGCCCAAACGTGCAAACCGCGGGCAAATGTGCAAACCGTTGGGTAGATGAGGTGAGGTAATTATGCCCCCTCAACAGAAAATTTTGCGCGAATTGCATCTGTAAGTGTGATCGGAATGAGAGAACAAGTATATGTGAGTACTCACGAATGTGAGACCCCATGGTTACCAACTTTCCTAAAAGCACCAAAACTTGAGACAAATCAAAACATCAAAAATTTTTTTCCAGTAAAATTTAATATGCATCTATACTACATTAGTGATCGGTCCAAGATATAAGTATTGTTGTATTTATCAAAAACCAAAATAAATAGTAACGCACTAATAACGATTTTAAACTTTTATAGAACCAATTGAATTTTCACTTCAATTCAATCAAGATATATAATTTATTTAAAACAATGCATTTATACACATATGTATGTACATACTTATGTGTATAAAAAGATTTTCGTATCCCGAATAAAATGAACTAAATAAGCACTGAACATGGCGGGAAAGGTATTCTAATAGTATTATATAGGTGTCGAATATTTTAAGGTATCTTCGGCTCAGCTAACATGAAAAAAACTGCATGTATGCATTCTATATATTTTTGATAATTTGAAGATTTTAATTTTTAACGATGCAAAGGGAAGTGTATGTACTATATATATATATATGAGCCCTTGATTTTGAAGTGGTATAAGTCACTTCCCAGCTCTTGCGCTTAAATGACCGGTTACTTGTAACCGAATACATCTGCAAATCGTTCTATCGTCGTAAACTAATGACAAAACCTTCTACCAATGGTTGATGAAGTTGAACGAATAACCGACGCGTTCAGATACCAGTAACCGATCATTTAAGTTCAAGAGCTGGGAAGTGACTTATACCACTTTCAAAATCAAGGGCTCATATATACTGCTGCAAATAAATGCAACGCAAAAATTTTAAATCTAATTGGTGGATTTACGTAGTCTCATAAAATTATAAGTCCGAAAGAAAAAACTTAAAAAATTACTTAGTATGTTATACGGTTAATACGCACCGAAAATACAGAAGTCACAGTTGTATTTTTTTAATGCCTTTTTCTACGCTAGACAACAACAAAATCTTTAAACAAAGCTAGTTCTCGTGTCACTTTTGTTAAAAAACTGATGGTTTTTTTATAAACATGTAGGGACCAACCCTAACACTTGTCGCAGTAGTTAAGTGGCAACATCAAAAGCCGCAGTAGACGAACAGAGCTGTTTGACATTCGTTTGTACTAACTGAAACCAATTACATTCATTCAATGTATTTTCTAGCGACGCTAACAAAGTCAGAATTTTCCGTGTATAAAGCAACTTATATTTGTTTAATTTCTAAGTTAATAAAGACATATAGAAGTAGTAATTCTATAACTGGTGACCCCTCTAAGAACATAATATGGTGAACGAAGGCGAAGATAGGTACGAAGACGCTATCACTTCTTTCCATATGGCACGGCTCTCCATCAAGCCGCCACCGTTCTTGAAGCCTGATCCACGCTTCTGGTTCGCACAGGTGGAAGCGCAGTTTGTGCGAAGGGATTACGGCCGATGAGACGAAGTACTACACAATTGTAGCTGAAATTGATTCAGCAGTTCTCACTCACGCTACCGACATAATTTCATCACCACCTGTTAGTGGCAAGTACGACGCATTAAAGCAAAGACTGATTACTGAATTCGGCGAGTCGAACGAAAAAACGCTGAAACGCTTATTTGAAGGCTGCGAATCGGGCGAGAAGAAACCTACTACTTTGCTTCGTGACATGAAAGACTTAGCAAGTCAGCGAGTTGATAAAGACGTTTTGAAATCATTGTGGCTGCGACGCTTGCCTGTGCAAGTGGAGCAGATTTTATCAACACTCGAGGGCGATATCGAAGCTTTGGCTAAGAAAGTCGATAATATCATGGAGATTTCAACAACAAATGGTAACATAGAGGTCGTCGGTGTACCCAGCGAGGATTCATCACCTGCTATTGCGGATTTGATAAGCAGGCTCGATCGCCTCGAACGTAGCAGCAATAACGGCAAGTTCAGGGAGGAACGGAGCCGCAGCAATGCAGTTTCGGGTACAACGTCATCTACCAGTTCGCGCAAGACGACAACTCAACCAGCACACGACACTTGTTGGTATCACCGCACTTTTTGTGAAAATGCAACACGATGCCGGCAGCTATGCTTTCGGTCAGAAACGTTCGGAAAACTAATCAGTCATCCGTTCAAAGCGGCTCCTGCGGAGGCTGATAATAACTGCAGCCGCCTTTATGTCCGAGATAGGACATCTTCACTAAAATTTCTTGTAGACACGGATGCGGAGATATCAGTGGTACCCAAAAGTGGTAACGACAAGCGATCGAGGGCGCCATGAAGCTGGTAGCTGCAAACAACACGCAAATTAGTACCTACGGTACTAAGCGTATGGTGTTGGACCTGGGTTTGCGGAAACAATTTTCGTGGTTGTTTCTATATTGGGTGCTGATTTTTTAAAACATTTCGAGATTCTGGTGGAGATGAAGAGTAAGGCGATCATTGATAGAACATCGAGCGTCCGATCGATTTGCCAAATCATGAAACTACCATATAGCATCATCTCATTAAGAGAGGTAAGTTTATTTCAGCAGATATTAGCGCAGTACCCCGACCTCACCAACGATTCACCCCGGGCGGACAGAACATCGACGGCCGTTCGACATTTCATTGAGACGAGAGGTGCCCCGGTGGTACAAAAAGTGCGCCGACTCTCCCCCGAGAAGCTCGCAGTTGCAAAAGAGGAATTCGAGTATTTATTAGAACGAGGAATTTGCCAACGCTCGAAAAGCCAATGGGCTAGTCCCCTGCATATGGTGCAGAAAGCGAATGGAAAGTGGCGGCCTTGCGGTGATTATAGGCGGTTGAATGCGAAGACCTTGCCAGATTATTATCCGGTCTGCCATATTCAAGATTTCGGACGGAAAAACTATTTTTTCAGTAATTGATTGTAAAATGGCTTACCACCAAATCCCTGTACACCCAGCAGACGTTCCGAAAACCGCCATCCTCACCCCGCTCGGCTTGTTCGAGTTCAGGTATATGACGTTCGCAGCACAGACGTTCCAGCGTTTCATTGATGAAACAGTAATGGGATTGCCGTTCGCCTTCCCCTACCTCGATGATGTCCTCGTCGCCTCCACGTCACCGGAGGAGCACGCGACACATCTCCGTCAGCTTTTTGATCGCTACCGAGAAAAGGGCTTAATTATCAACAGTGAGAAATGAAAACTCGGCCGGGAGGAGGTAGAGTTTCTGGGCCATCTAGTCTCATGCAAAGGCATTAAACCACTGCCTCAGAAAGTAAGGGACATCATAGCATTAAAGAAACCGAAGGAAGTACATGAGCTGAGGAGATTTCTAGGGGCCGTCAACTTTTACAGACTTTTTTACCGCCATCGAAGCGCCACTTCAGCGACTCATGGGCCCTTGCAAGAAACACGACAGGACAGTTATTGCCTGGACAGTAGAGGCGACGGAGGCTTTTGAAAATCTGTGCGGCATTTCCGTTATTTTTTGGAAGGAACGATTTTCACAATACTTACAGATCATAAGCCGCTCACGCATGCTCTCGATCAAAAGTGGGAAAAACTATCCCCACGGCAAACTCGCCAATTGAATTTTATTAGCAAGTTTTCGTCCGATATACAGCACATCAGCGGAGCTGAGAACCTCGTCGCCGACATCTTATCAAGAATCGAAATGTTTTCGCTACCATCGCCGATAGACTTGCAGCAGCTGCACGAAGAGCAGAATAGAAGCGACGAGTTGAGAAGCCTGTTAAATGGTCAGCCCACTTCGTTACACCTGGTCAAAAGTCAAGTTCCGGGTAAGAGCGTACAAATCATTTGCGATAACTCAACGGGGACACTTCGTCCATACGTTCCAGACGTTTTGCGACAGGTGGTGTTCAATGCGGTTCATGGTTCAGCACAACCTGGTGCGAAGGCAACGATAAGACATTTCAAATAACTGCGTTTGGAAAGGATTAAGCAGCGATGTACGAGCGCGGGTGCGTAGTTGCACAGCATGCCAGCGTTGCAAGATAGCGCGTCACACGAAAGGGGAACTACAGCAATTTTCGGTCCCCGGGAAGCGTTTTGAACATGTTAATGTGGACATCGTCGGCCCGTTTGCCCCTTCGCGCGGATACACATACGGCTTAACCTGTGTCGACCGTTTTTCACGATGGTTGGAGGTTATCCCTATAGCGGACATGACCGCTGAGACAGTGGCAAGAGAGTTTTTAAACGGTTGGATAAGCCGGTTTGGGACGCCAAAGTACATTACTACAGATCAGGGGCGTCAGTTCGAGAGTGCGCTGTTCAAACAACTAGTCAAGCTATTAGGCGTCAAATACATCCATACAACCAGCTACCACCCTCAAGCTAATGGGTTGGTGGAGGGATAGCATCGTGTGTTGAGAGCCGCCCTCAGATGTCACGCTGCAGTCGCGAACTGGGTCGACGTCCTACCCATCGTGCTTTTAGGCTTACGAACGGCCGTGAAAGAGGACTTGGGCGTATCCGTAGCAGAGATGCTCTACGGACAACCTATCCGGTTACCCAGCGACTTCCTGGAGGCCGACGACAACACGCCTGTAGATGAGCAGAGTTTCCTGCGGGATTTGCGACAACATTTCGAAATGGCTAGGCCAACGCCAACTTCACAGCATGGAAAGCATGCCGTTTTCGTGCCAAAATACCTGCGATTCGGCAGTCACGTGTTTTTACGTGATGACACTATCCGTAAGCCTTTGAAATCGCCGTACGATGGGCCGTTCCTAGTAGTTAACAGGTACCCCAAGACGTATACAATATTGAATGGATCAAGACAAGTGACGGTGTCCATTGACAGACTTCAGCCGGCTTACTTCCCCAGGGACAAGTTAGCAGCGATACATCACCAACATACACAGTTAACCTGTTTACGTTTCTCCGGTGCTAGGTCTGGAAGGGGGTGGTGTAGGGACCAACCCTAACACTTGTCGCAGTAGTTAAGTAGCAACATCAAAAGCCGCAGTAGACGAACAGAGCTGTTTGACATTCGTTTGTACTAACTGAAACAAATTTAGTTTTTTGTTATTTTTTGGCCTTTTTAACAATTATATTCAACAATTTTATAATGAGCTCGAGGCCATTTTTCAAATGAAAATTTATTGTGGAAAAGCAACAATAATTTGAAAAAATGGTAGAAGTGATTGCAGCGGAATAGCTGCGCTTGATTGTGTTGGCATAACAAAAATGAAAAATAGTGGAAATAAGCAAACGATAATTTACAAGGCGTCTTAGCACGGTGCATAGGCAACTGGCTGAGTCAGTGGGATCGTCGGTTTGAATCCTACTGAAAGAAGTCTGATGAGGAAATGTGGTGATTTCCGAAATAGCTATCACTTCTACCATTTTTTCAAATTATTGTTGCTTTTCCACAATAAATTTTCATTTGAAAAATGGCCTCGAGCTCATTATAAAATTGTTGAACAAATTTCATTCATTCAACGTATTTTCTAGCGACGCTAACAAAGTCAGAATTTTCCGTGTATAAAGCAACTTATATTTGTTTAATTTCTAAGTTAATAAAGACATATAGAAGTAACAATTCTATAAACATATGATCTCTAATTTTATCAAATAATGTTTAACTGCTAAATTATAAAAGACACTTTTTTTCATAAGAGTTTACAGAATTTAATTGATTTAGCAGGATTCCAGCGAACTTTGTTTATTAATCTGGCGGGACGGCAGAAACAGAAATGGCAACACTGGTGGTGAGTACCGACTTGCTTGCGCGCATACTAGCTGTTTTGTAATTCACTTTTGCATTGTCAGCAATTGTTGCCAGGTCTTCGGCATGAGAAAACGTCACTCTTGGTCGGGAAAAACGTCATTTCCTGCCCAAAAACGTATTTTTCAAATGTATGCACACAGGATAGTTCTTATTAAACTTGTATTGTATACAAAGGTACATACATAAGTATATATGTATGTAAGGTGTATTAAAATGTCATTTCGACAGAGCACATTTAAAATTCATTGTAAACTGGTTTGAAATTGTTAATATAAATATAAATATCATTTTATATATACACTTTTTATCAGCTGCTTAGTCATCAATATTTTGATCGATTGTGGCTGTCTTTCTTTTGTTTATTTAATGTTTATTATTTTTCCATAAAAGCCAAGCTGATTATATAACAAACAAAATATAAATCCACATTTCAAACTTTGTGCAAAAATTATAAAAAATCTGCAAAGTTTCAGCTAAATTTTAAAGTTTTTATTCGAATTTTTAAGAATTTTTTTGAGTATGCAATTTGATAGCCCATTATTTTCCAGGGTAATAATGTGCAAGTTTTAAGTTGCTAAAGAATCGCGTTGATTTTTAATATTTTTTCTCTTTTGTAGACATTTGGTTAGGTGGTCGATTGTCGAAAATGCTAAATTACGTTCTGCTAAGAAGGAGCTTAGCAATATTTCAGCTTTTTTTGCGTTCATTACATTTTCAATGAAGTCTTAAAAAAGTCGCCTACTTTTTTCTGACTTTTTATGCTGCTACAGCTTTTTTGGTGCTTTTGCGAGCGTGCGTGTTTCAATAGATCAGCTCCTCCTGATTTGGCTTTTAATGTGCACTTGCAAACATTGCAATAAGCCTCGTAACCTCAAGTGTTTAGAAAACCAGCCTTTGAACGCGGGATCCTTAGTCCAATAATCCAAAAATAAAATGACCGTACGCTTGGTATGCATCGTATTTAAGTCATTTGTGTCCAAAGGACAAATATCTTTTGAAGAAGCTGCTGCAAAAAAAAAGCTTGTTAACATTTATTAAGAAAATAATTCAAAATCAGTTCTACTGACAAGATTTAGTAACCGAGAAAAATTACTGGGAAGTTAAAAAAACGTCATTTATTGCACAAAAAACGTCCGAACGTCGACAAGATACAAAAAACGTCCAAATGACGTTAAAAACCGTCGACCTGGCAACGCTGTTGTCAGCGTTCAGTTGGTCGCAAATTTTCAAAGGGAGGGGTTGTTCTTGCGCAGATAATTTTTCGTTAGAAATTTGCTTGGAAAAAATGACAATCATGCGCAAAAGAACCTTTTTATATGACGGTCTACTACCGACTGAGCCAAGAATGATAGAATTTTCTGGATCGTGCGACTGAGCCTAGTAGCAGCGCTCGGCTCTCTTATTTACGAACACATGCGCAAGCAAGATCGTTAACACGTTATTGTTCGCCAGTATGAATTAGCACATCCTATTTTTTACATATGTATAATCAATTTTAACTTGATTGATTCATTAATAAAAAAAATTTAATTGGTCAGCATTTCATGATGTTGA